TGTTCACAATGGTGTTAATGCTTTTCCCCCAGTCATTGCTGACTTCTGCCAGGGAGTTCTGGATGTCCTTCACATCCCACATGGCATTGTGGAGCTGACGGAGGCCTGAACGGACCCCGTCTAACTGTGAGTGGATTGCAGCCTGGAGAGTGGGGACAGACAGTTGTAAATGATTTAGATATGTTTTTTCATGAATCAAAGGGCAGTACAGATTCACAGTATGCAGCCAATGTAAAAGCTAAACAAATTATTTTCTAACTTCAGTCGTGCTTCTACTAAAACTCCAGATCTAACTGGGTGATCAATAAATCATGGGATTTATTTCAGTTGCTAGGTCTTAGCAGGTGAATGATTCATTTTCTAATGATTATGCTAGCCAGCTAGCTATGGCTCCATACATAATCAAGCTAGCTAGCAAGCTATCTAGCTTAAAAATAGCTTGCAAAATAACTTTATCTAATCAATTTCGGTAGCTACCATCAGCCATCACCGAAAACCACATATTTTAATCTTCTTCTGTGGTTTGGTAACTTCCGGACTAGACTGTTGAAGGCGCCGTTGCTAGACTGAAGACAACGCAAGGTTTGGAAAATGTCAAATTATGCAGTATCTGTCTAGCAACGGCGCCTTCAACCGCAAGGGGGCGTTGTAATTCCACTCCGTTGTGGACGTCCCCATTGAAATGCATGACATCCAGCGCAATGTAATGGAGTGCTTATGGGTAATGTGAACGAGGCATAATGGTCACCTTATGGATGCTGTAGCCTCGTTTTACTCCAACGTGTAGAATTTGAGCTAGGTTTGGCCCAAAAATTGTCTGACAATCCTAAAGCCTTGTTTACATTATCCATAAGCACTCCGTTATGTTGCAGCAGATGTACTGCATTTCAATGGGGATGTCCACAATGGATTGGAAAGGCTCCGTTGTGAGACGGATGCAGCATACTTTGATTTAAAAAAAACTTTGCATCGTCTTCAGTCCAACCACAGAGGAAGATGAAATTACGTAGTTTTCGGTTTGGCTTTATGGGATAGCTAGCAACTTGTAAACAATAACCCATTCCTATAAGTGATTGCAATTTTAATAGTAATGTTAAATAATACACATTGGCTGGTAAGCCAATTATATTATATGACTGTTGCCTCCCGTTTAAGTTTATTGTGATGGTAATAACTTTTGTTTTTGATGATAATTATTAGGTGGAGGTCACTAGCTACAATGGTATCTTCAACCTAGCCTAGCTTTTAGCTAGCTGCTCTGCAGTGCAACCTAGCTTGACTCGCTATAAAGTTAGAGAAACAAGTTGAGGAAAAAGTTTAAAAAAACAACAACATGTTTTATTATCACCTGAAACAACATATTTATCCTGTCTTGAATGAAAAGGTCATATTTTACGATCTCCCAAAATAAATACGATCTCCCAAAATAAATGCGATCTCTGACGAGAGACAAGCTCTCCTCCATCTTGTGTTACAAACACTACACTTGTCCATTCAGTAGCGGGGCAAAAATTCATGAAGATGACGTGCACTTCATGATGTAAACGAGGCATCATGCTAACAGCTGTGTCAAAAATCCGGTATAGCAGCCTGGTTGATAGACTAGACGTAACATAGTAAACGTATATCCGGAACACTCACAATAGTATGATATACCTTTGGTATGGTTACAGAAGACAGAAGGTTACTCATGGCAAAAACCGAAGTAGGGTGGTTAGTCCGGTTGGATGGGTTGGCGTATAACGTTACATAGGAACGTCAAGCAATCCAAAGGTTGCGTGTTTGAATCTCATCACAGACAACTTTAGCTTATTAGCAACTTTGCACCTACTTTTTAGCTACTTTGCGACTACTTAGCATGTTAGCTAACCCTTCCTCTAACCCTAACCTTAACCCCTAACCCTAACCCCTAGCCTAGCTAACGTTACCCACAACAAATTGGCATTCGTAACATATCATATGTTTAAAAATTCGTAACATATTGTACGAATTACAATTAGTAACATATTGTACGAATTGCAATTCGTAACATATCATATGAAATGGATGATATACTGCCACAAATTCATACATACCATTCGAAATGTAACAAGTCCCGGATTTACATTTACTATGTTACGTCAACCCCAGAGACCAGATTGGATATAGTGGTTATTGGTAATGGCCTGACAGATCATGACGAGAGGTGGGGAGTGTGTTGTGTATCTCCAATCAAGTTGATTTGCAAATGTTCATCGACATTGGTGTCATATTGGCATAGATATGATGGTAGGGAGATTTGAATTCAACATTGAGATTCAACCAATGCATAGCTGCATGACTATAATACAGTCAGTGCTAGAAGACCAAAGCCCTTATTGCAAGAAATAAGACCATCTGACACTACCTTTAAATAGGCAAAAATCAACAAAATCACTTTCACACCCCAGCTGTCAAGGTTCTTATATACAAGTGAAAGCTATTTATTGTCTAGTGGCCCCAATTTGATGTGTGCTAAACAGTACTGTCCTCTAGTGCACATTTATATGAAGTACATGGATGACAAACCTGGCACCATAGAGTTGAGGGTGTGCAATATGTATTACATAGGCCATTATAGTCCTGATTCTCAATCTAATGACAACCATATAAACTTGCTGAACAATTGGATATTTGTGCGTAGTCCGTTTCACTTCAGAGTAGATTGTTTGATGATGATATAAGCCACTGTAGCCAAAAGCATCAACCTTGGACAAACACTTTCATTCAGTTGTTGGATATGGTATTTAAGGTTGCTGTAAAATTAACTTTGTGAAGTGAGTGAGTGTTCCAGTTACTGACCAGATATAGGTCAAAAACTAACAATACAAACAGTATATTTCAGTTTCTTACTTCCTTCTTACTCAATTCAGAATGTTGCCTATACCACACCTTTATTATACCACACCTTTATTATACCACACCGTTATTATACCACACCTTTATTATACCACACCGTTATTATACCACACCTTTATTACACCATACCTTTATTACACCACACCATTATTATACCACACCTTTATTATACCACACCTTTATTATTCCACACCTTTATTATACCACACCATTATTATACCACACCTTTATTATACCACACCTTTATTATTCCACACCTTTATTATACCACACCATTATTATACCACACCTTTATTATACCACACCTTTATTATTCCACACCTTTATTATACCACACCGTTATTATACCACACCATTACTATACATTTACATTTACATTTTCGTCATTTAGCAGACGCTCTTATCCAGAGTGACTTACAAATTGGTGCATTCACCTTATTTATTTTTTTTTTTTTGGGGGGGGGGGGGGGGGGGGGGGGGTAGAAGGATTACTTTTATCCTATCCCAGGTATTCCTTAAAGAGGTGGGGTTTCAAGTGTCTCCGGAAGGTGGTGAGTGACTCCGCTGTCCTGGCGTCGTGAGGGAATTTGTTCCACCATTGGGGTGCCAGAGCAGCGAACAGTTTTGACTGGGCTGAGCGGGAACTGTGCTTCCGCAGAGGTAGGGGGGCCAGCAGGCCAGAGGTGGATGAACGCAATGCCCTCGTTTGGGTGTAGGGACTGATCAGAGCCTGAAGGTACGGAGGTGCCGTTCCCCTCACAGCTCCGTAGGCAAGCACCATGGTCTTGTAGCAGATGCGGGCTTCAACTGGAAGCCAGTGGAGTGTGCGGAGGAGCGGGGTGACGTGAGAGAACTTGGGAAGGTTGAACATCAGACGGGCTGCAGCGTTCTGGATGAGTTGTAGGGGTTTAATGGCACAGGCAGGGAGCCCAGACAACAGCGAGTTGCAGTAATCCAGACGGGAGATGACAAGTGCCTGGATTAGGACCTATACCACACATTTATTACACCACACCTATATTATACCACACCTTTATTATACCACACCATTATTATACCACACCTTTATTATACCACACCTTTATTATACCACACCGTTATTATACCACACCGACTCTGCCATCAGCATGACGCAACAGGAACCGGGATTAGTCGGACCAAGCAATGTTTTTACACTCCTCAATTGTTCAGTGTTGGTTATTGCATGCCCACTGCAGCCGCTTCATCTTGTTTTTAGCTGATAGGAGTGGAACCTGGTGTAGTTGTCTGCTGCAATAACCCATCAGTGACAAAGGCCGACGAGTTGTGCGTTCCGAGATGCCGTTTCTGCACACCACTGTTGTATGCCGCCGTTATTTGCCTGTTTGTGGCCCGCCTGTTAGCTTGCACGATTCTTACCATTCGCCTTCAACCTCTCTCATCAACGAGCTGTTTTCGCCCACAGGACTGTCTCTGACTGGATGTTTTTTGTTTGTGGCACCATTCTCGGTAAAGACACTGTTGTGTGTAAAAAGCCCAGGAGGCCAGCCGTTTCTGGCACCGATGATCATACCACGCTCAAAGTCGCTTAGTTCACTAATTTTGCCCTTTCTAGAGTTAAATCGAACAGTAACTGAATGCCTCGATGCCTGTCTTTCTGATAATGCCCTTTTAGTGTAAGAGCTGTTTGAAAAGACCGCCTGAAATGTCAGCCTGTTTTGGTGGGATGGACCAATAAGAAAGACATTTCCAAACCTTCTGCCAATAACTGCTAGTTTTCAGTTTTCCCCTCCCCACTCAGACTACTACCAGACAGCCCTAGCTAAATTCTTGCTTGAGAAATTGCTCTTTGCTAAGAAGCTATTTTTGTTTCTTTTTGACCATTTTAATTAATCACAGTAAGGTACTTAATTGTTACCTAGAAATGATTTGATATTGAGATAAAAACGGTTATAAATTACTTGTACCTATTTCTATTTATTTTCAAACTATCATTTTGGTTTGTGGCTTTGGCGAAAGGTACTGTAATACTGTTTTAATGCACAATGAGCCATTGTACTTGGGGAATTTAAGATGTTTAATGTTTTATATGGTTTATTCACTTAAATCCAGTCAGAAGCTAATCCTTAGCTTTTCTCCCACAGACCGTACAGATAATGATTGGTTTGATGATGCTGTTGATAGGAATCATGATGATTACAGCACCACAGATAGACAGTATTGGAGGAATCAGTTAAATATTTTTCTGGGGATCTATCATTGTAAGTGATGTAAACAATGTACATGTAAAAACAATGTAAACATCTTTATAATTGAATCATGTAGTTTCGAATAGCAATCCATTACAAATGTTTTTTATGTAATTTAAAAAAAAATCTTTAATTCCTTCATAATCTCTTAATTATCTAATAACTTATATATTATCTAATGACTAATGACTAATATATATACTGAACAAAAATATAAAGGCAACATGTCAAGTGTTGGTCCCATGTTTCATGAGCTGACATGAAAGACCCCAGAAATGTTCCATACGCACAAAAAGCTTATTTCTCCAAAATGTTGGGCACACATTTGTTTACATCCCTGTTAGTGAGCATTTCTCCTTTGCCAAGATAATCCATCCACCTGACAGGTGTGGCATATCAAGAAGCTGATTAAACAGCATGATCATAACACAGATACACCTTGTGCTGAGGACAATAAAAGGCCACTCTAAAATGTGCAGTTTTGTCACACAACACAATGCCACGGATGTCTCAAGTTTTGAGGGAGCGTGCAATTGGCATGCTGACTGCAGGAATGTCCACCAGAGCTGTTGCCAGATAATTGAATATACATTTCTCTACCATAAGCCGCCTCCAACTTCATTTTAGAGAATTTGGCAGTACGTCCAACCGGCCTCAAAACCGCAGACCACGTGTAACCACGCCAGCCCAGGATGTCCACATCTGGCTTCTTCACCTGTGGGAACGTCTGAGACCAGCCACCCGGACAGCTGATGAAACTGTGGGTTTGCACAACAAAATCATTTCTGTACAAACTGTCAGAAACCGTCTCAGGGAAGCTCATCTCCGCGCTCGTCGTCCTCACCAGGGTCTTGACCTGACTGCAGTTTGGCGTCGTAACTGACTTCAGTGTGCAAATGCTCACCTTCGATTGCCACTGGCACGCTGGAGAAGTGTGCTCTTCACAGATAATTCCCGGTTTCAACTGTATTGGGCAGATGGCGTGGTGTATGGCGTCGTGTGGGCGAGCGATTTGCTGATGTCAACGTTGTGAACAGAGTGCCCTACGGTGGTGGTGTGGTTATGGTATGGGCAGGCATAAGCTACGGACAACGAACACAATTGCATTTTATCGATGGCAATTTGAATGCATAGAGATATCGTGACGAGATCCCATTGCTGTGCCATTCATCCGCTGCCATCACCTCATGTTTCAGCATGATAATGCACGGCCCAATGTCGCAAGGATCTGTACACAATGAAAATGTCAAATTTCTTCCATGGCCTGCATTCTCACCAGACATGTCACCCATTGAGCATGTTTGGCATGCTCTGGATCGACGTGTACAACAGCGTGTTCCAGTTCCCGCCAATATCCAGCAACTTTACACAGCTATTGAAGATGAGTGGGACAACATTCCACAGGCCACAATCAACAGCCTGATCAACTCTATGTGAAGGAGATGACTGGTCTTCTGATTCTCGCCCCTACTTTTCTTTTTTACAGTATCTGTGACCAACAGATGCATATCTGTATTCCCAGTCATGTGAAATCCATAGATTAGGGCCTAATTAATTTATTTCAATTGACAGATTACCTTATATGAACTGTAACTCAGTAAACTCTTTGAAATTGTTGCATGTTGCGTTTATATTTTGGTTCAGTGTATGTGTGCTTAGATAGGCCTATGCAATTTATATGCTCATGGATTTTAGTTTGCATTGACCTCTATGTGGGTGCAACTAAACATCCAAGGATTCTTGTTTGTTGTTCTACACAAGCTATACCCACCTTTAATTAATGTGTCTTCATCCACAAATTAGAATAGCATATGTACAATAAGTCATTATTATTACTACACCCAATATAGTTTGCATTGACTTCTATGTGGGTGCAATTAAACTTGACCTTGCACATTGGTCATACAGAAGACATCTGAATTATATCTCTTCCTTGTTCCTTCTCAGTACATCATTGCAGGCTCACTCACTGTTGCTGCTGACAACAAACTGAACAAGTGTCTGGTCAGTTTCAACTCTTTTTTTCCTCAATGAAGTTTAGGCTTCACTTTAAATTGTGATAACGATTGTCAACAAACTGAATTCTATATTGCATTTTATTCTTCAGAAATGTTCATCCACAACCAACAGCCATTCCCATGACCTCTCTCTGCTCTGTCTCCTCAGGTGAAAGGGTCACTGGGAATGAATGTCGTCGCCACCGTAACTGCTCTTACTGGCGTCATTCTCTAGACGGTGCTCTGATCATGTTGAACTACAACTGTGACTATCCATACTACTGCCTGCCAACAGTATTGGGTATGCCCAAATTATTATTCCTTTTGTACTTTTATTGGTCAGGAGATGTTTGTAAATTGGTAAAGGGGTATTTATTACCTACAATCTTGTTACTGTTGTACCATTTCATGTTTTTTATAGTGGAGGTCACATGGAATTTCAGGCGTTATGGCTGTTTTCTCCGCGCTGGAGTTCATAGTGTCCATCTGTGTCTCGTCGTTTGCCTGCAATGCTGTCTGCTGCCATTCCACCCCTGAGGTGTGTTACTATAATGTAAAAAATCATAAACATTAAACTAAGTTCTAGCATAAACTAAGTTCTAGCATTTATCATATGTAATATTGCAACTGAGAGCACTGAGCAGCCATGATACCTCAAATAGCAAAGGATGACAATTGTGCTGAATGAAAAATAACTGTACTCCATCCATTTGCACTTTTAGGAAGTCTTCTTCCTTGGGAATCAAATACTTCATGGCAGCATTGTGAACCCAAGCAACACACCTTTCCTTCCACAGAACAACTATGAGGTCAAATCAAATCTTATTTGTCACATGCTTTGTAAACAACAGGTGTAGACTAACAGTGAAATGCTTACTTACGGGCCCTTTCCAACAATGCAGAGTTAAAGATAAAGATCAAAATAAAATAAAAAATAGAAGTAGTGACATGAGGAATAAAACACAGTGAATAACAAATAACAATAATGAGTAAAAATAACATGGCTATATACAGGGAGCACCAGTACAGAGTTGATGTGCAGGGGTACGATGTAATTGAGGTAGCTATGTACATATAGGTAGGGGTAAATTGAGCTTGAGAGGTGGATGAAATATACAGCAGCCTGTCCTGGAGAGTATTAGGACATCATTTAGGGTCCCCTGTAGCTCAGTTGGTAGAGCATGGCGCTTGCAACACCAGGGTTGTGGGTTCGTTTCCCACGGGGGGCCAATATGAAAAATTTATGCACTCACTAACTGTAAGTCGCTCTGGATAAGAGCATCTGCTAAATGACTAAAATCTAATCATTTGGGTTCTCTTTTCCATTTCTTTTTTAGGTTTATGCAATTGTATAATTCTTACATTTTACATTTTTAGTCATTTAGCAGACGCTCTTATCCAGAGCGACTTACAGGAGCAATTAGGGTTAAGTGCCTTGCTCAAGGGCACAGACAGATTTTTTCACCTAGTCGGCTCGGGGATTAGAACCAGCGACCTTTCGGTTACTGGCACAACGCTCTTAACCACTAAGCATGTCGATCACCATAATGACCAGTTGTGACAAGAGGGAGTACAGCTACGAACGGTAGTGACTTTTAATAGCAGGTTAGGAGAGCATTTTATCTAGCCCTAACCCTTTTCCTAACCTTAACCTAAGTCTCTTAACCTGCCACATTAATTCTCCTAACCTGCTGCGTAAATTCTCCTACTGCTACGAAAGTCACTTCTGGTGGTAGCTGTACTCCCTTTAGTCAGAACCATAATGACCCTGACACACAGGCAAGGGGAGATGTGTCTGTCACACACGGCCACAGCACAAAAAACACTTGCATTTATCCATTTATTTATTCAAATATCTATGAGTGTATTCTTTCAGATGCTTTATGTTGCCATTACATAATAAAGGTCCACATAGATCCATATCATAATTTGACCACATCAAATACTTGAAAACATCGCTTAAACTTTATTGACAGAATATGATGCAAGCCATTCTGAGCCATTTGGAGTCATATTGTGACAATATTGCGTTGTGTTGTTGAGAGTACGGTATTCCAAGCTCTGTTTGACACAACATCTAGTACTCCTTCATCTTTTAAAGGTGTATTTGAAGACTTGCTTAATGACCATGGCTAGGTTAGCACATAGCTTATCCATTATGACTGTATTTTAAACACACAGCGGGTAGTTCATCTCATGAGTCTCTTTCTTACTTATATGTGGACCATGCACTGTCTTTATCTGGAAAATATATACTAGGAGAAAAAAAAGATAATGAAATGTCCCATTCCAGTTGTCTGATCTACGCCAAGCCTTACAATAATTTTTACGAGGATACATTTTTAAAAGTGTACAATAATGATAATAATATTAACTAATCGCTAACTGAACATCAATGCTGCTGAAAGTAAAGCATGTAATAACAGCGGAGGACTTCATACAAAGTGGTCCTGGGATAGATCAAACAACTCGCCATAAAAGATGATCCTACTGCCTCTAAGTACTAGAAAACAAGATATAGAAAGTTGAGAATGCTTTTGATAGTAAATAGAAAAACCCCACACATCTTTGCACATTTGTGGAACAGGAATAGACAGTGATCATTAAACAAAATGACAAGCTTCACAATATCCATGGCTTTTTGTTAGTTTTTCTATACAATGTATACCCACCTTGAATTCAATGTGTCTTATTCCACAAAGGAGGAACGCATATGTACAATAAATAGATCATTGTTATTACAGCCGTTCAAGATAATATTACCTGACATTTTCAATTTCTTTAGTTAATTATATTTCTTGATTTTTATTTTTCCTCATTTACATTTTTATTTTTTGTCAGAAATTAAATTGAATTGACAGGTCAGCAAAATGTAGTTTTTTATATGTTTGAAACCTTACAAAAATTACATTTGAAAATGATATTTTTCCTGTGTTTTTCCTTTACTTTTTTCAAAACAAAAATGTTCAATGGTGCATCTGGCATAGTTCGAGAAAGAGAGAAAGACTGATGATGAAGTAAGTCTATACCGCATACATACAACAAAGAGGACAAAGATAACTATCACCCAAGCGTCACTGTCGTCCATCCCAAACAGTGATCTAGCTGTGGAGTGTTCTGTGCTATTAGACTACAGCAAACCCTGGGTCGTGTTCATTAGGCACAAACAGTAGGAAAGGTTTTCAAACAGACAACAGAAATGAATGCCCCTATAGGACAAGTGCAGGTAGTACTACCTCTGTTTAAAACATTTGCTCCAGTTTGGTGCTTACTGAACACGGTCAACACAACATCTGTTCCATCTGGGTAAAAAAATAATAATGCTTATACTACTGTATATGTGAGTAAGGCTACCTAACTGTAGTCGGGGATACTAAATGGATAAAATAGTAACATTCAGCACAAATAATGAACTTTATCATCTTCCCTGTGTCTCAAAATATTGCACCTGCTTTTGAAGTTTATCAAAAAGGGCGAGGAGTAAAACTGCAGGGTATAAGGGGCAATAACCGGGCAACTCCTGCTTGCAAGAAGAAAATGAAATTGGAATTAATATTGCCTGCAGCTTTAACATGGATGCACCAGTATTTGTTACTTCCAAATGTAATCCTGAAATAATTCAACATCTTGCATTGCTGAAATAGAGCCACAATTATCATGAGATGGAACAATAATCAATTCAATAGTAATCAATCAATTCACCCTGGATTCCTGGTGGTCAGAAACAATATTCTTACTCTCTGTAGCTAAGTGCTCTGCATGTACAGTCCTGTGCATTGCCTTAACCCATTATGTAAATCCTGTAAATGTCTCTTTCTATATAACTGTTTGATTTATGTAAATATTCAAGTTGTATTTGTCATACTGTATTTATTTATTGTCTCCTGTATAAAGTACCTTTCAGATACGCAAACACTTCAGAAGACACCAAACATCTAAATAGCTTAAAGCAGGCTTAAAGCTAATAGCCAGCTAGCCACTCTCAGTTTTCAAATGCCTCCCAGACATCATGAGGAATAATGTAGACATTAGAAAGTTGAAATAGTCTGAAATTTTTATCTAAACGGAATCCATAACTTTGTATGTCAGGGTAGAGTGAATAACAGCAAATCCTATTAGCTAAGAGATGAAAAGAGGGGAGAGAGGGATCAACCCGTGCCTCTTCCCCCCCATTCCCACTCCTAAATAAGTACAAACCTATGGGAAACCCCTTCAATATTGATTCTAGTGATGATCCCCAATCCAATACCTGTATCCTCTCCAATTAAGTACACACTTTATTCACCTGATCTCTCAGCCAATTAAGTACGTTCACATTATCTCTCGTACAATCAAATCCCTCTAAATGATCTCTCCAATCAATACCCCATCAATTATATATGCTATAGGATACTAACTCCTCAGCTGCCGCAAACGAAAAGGTGAAAGGATACAGGGCAACTCTGCTATAGGTTCAGTTTCTATACCTTCATGTCCAATGGGAGTAGTCGTTTTTCAGCGGTGCATCCAATCCAAGTCTAGATGGTGCGTTGGGCTGTCTCTCTCTGTGAGATATGTATCCACCCTTGTTTCAACAGTCAGTTAGAGAAGCATTGCTTCAGACAACTCCAGGGTCTCAAACATCCTATTTTCTCCCCACAAATCTTTGAAGAAAGCTCAAGCTCAAAGGCTTTGGAGATTCAGGTCAAAGTTAAACCATCACAATCACCTTTTTAAAACAAAGGTTTGGCCGGTCTGGCATAATTTCTCTTCCAACATTTCACAACCAAATGTGGAAAAACAGGGTGATGGTTGAAATCAGAAATCAGGGAAAGAGCAGGGATTGGCGAGTGGTGTAGTTCTAAAAAAGATAGCTTGGTAATTCCAGACATAACAAAGACTTGAGTCTGGTAAGGAAAGCTCAAGCTAGCCAAAATATTGCTTCAAAAACAAGCGCACAAATCCAAAACAAAAGGCACCCCACACTCGGGACACTGCCACAAGCATATAAAGACAGGGGTTCTCCACAAAGATGGGCACGCTCATAGCTGGTAGCGGCAATGTAGTAACAACATCCATAGCACTAATGACGATAGTAATATCAAGAGGAATTAAAAAGGGTTTGCATCACGTTCAAATGAAAAGTCATTTCAGAGTTTGGTGGCCTCTTTTGACTTGTTGATTGTGTTCTTCATACAGGTTAGTTTGGTAGGCACACTAACAGGCACTGCATGCGATGTGGGTTGGAGTGTGGTGTGGGGTAGGGTTGTGGTATTGCGTCGGGGCGGGGTGGGGGGTTCATTTCTGTCCGCTGATGGACTGGGATATGGAGCGAGGCGGGATCATGTCCAGCAGGTACTCCCTCTGGCGGTCAGCCATGCTGGACCCCTTGTGGCCGCCCACGTTGCTTGGGTTCAGGTAGGCGATGTTCACCCCTGGAGAGGGAGGGAGTCAGTGAGAGACTGTTACAAAGGCCTGCCTCTCTACACTTAGTCATTCTGTCTATACAGTTGTATGGCTGATCTCAGCCCCATCCCCAGCCCAACCCCTGGTCAGCCCCATCCCCAGCCCATCCCCTGGTCTATACAGTTGTATGGCTGATCTCAGTCCCATCCCCAGTTCAACCCCTGGTCTATACAGTTGTATGGCTGATCTCAGTCCCATCCCCAGCCCTACCCCTGGTCTATACGGTTGTATGGCAGATCTCAGCCCCATCCCCAGCCCAACCACTGGTCTGTCTACTCACCAGGGATGCTGTAGAGCTGGCGGCGGTTGTCGTGATGCTGTTGCTGCTGTTGCTGCTGTTGCTGCTGTTGCTGCTGTTGCTGCTGTTGCTGTGCCCGGCTGTGCCCACTAGTGCCCTGCTGTCCACTGCGCTTTCCAGTCATGCCCAGCAGGCTGCTGGCCACAGAGAGCTGGGAGGCCTGGGCAAAGTTGGACAGGACGCCTCGGGCCGAGCCGGACAGACCCCGTTGGAGGGAGGCCTGGGACTGGGTCACCTGGGGCTGAGGCGCCTGGAGGACACACACACACACACACATCAGATGGAGAGTCCATCTGTCAGCACGGGACATCCTCGAAAACTAAAGGGGGTGTGATGACGGTTGGGGAAATGTGAAAGTAGTAACGTGCATTCCCCACCCACCTCAGGATTCCCCTTTTTGCAGCCATTTTACGCCTGTTTTTGTGGGGTGTAAATTCTCTTGTCACATAATTGTCGCTGGATGGATTTATTTCAAAATAATATATGCCAATTAGGAGATACTTTTATCCAAAGCGACTTACAGTCATGCATGCATACATTTTAAGTATGGGTGGTCCCAGGAATTGAACCCACTATCCTGGCATAGCAAGCACCATGCTCTACCAACTGAGCTACAGAGAACCACATAAAAGCAATGCACATTCCAACCCTTGCTTGTAAATACACTTTCCACTTTCCGCTCAAACACATGCCAGTCCAGTTCAAAATGTCAACAATGGCACATGTGATTTTTGATATGCATCTATTTCAACCCCCACCCTTAGACAGGGATTAAAGACAGAAGAGAAAGCAATCATTGCACAAGTGGGTGGTCAATTTTTGTAACGTTTATAAAAGTTCAGATTTAATTAATTTGAAGTGTTTACACAGTAACTCAGCCGCAATGGAAGTCACTCCCGAAAATGTACAACCAAATCTCATAAATAGGGGGTTTAATATTGCACAAGAGAGAGGTTTATGAGCTATAATTCAGTCAATATTTGATTATTTATCAAGTATCCATTATGCAGCTGTTACAATTGGACCTTTTATCAATTTTGCTGAACAATGCTAGTGAAAGTGGTGGTGACAGATTGTCTATTGCAGTAGGTAACACTTATTAACAGCGGTGACAGTGACATACCTGTCTGTGTGTGTGATGTCTGCTCATAGACTCAGCCTTACTGACGCTTGGAACAGTTTGAGCTGAACTGGTGGCAAGAGCGGCTTGCAACTGGATTCTCTGCTCAATCTCCTGTGACAAATTTAGTAAAAGATGGTTATTCACACACGCACACACACTTTCCCTATAAACAATGGTTGCCTGAACAGAGCAATGGGGAGCCAATGGAATGCTGACCTGCTCCTGCTGTAAAGCCTTGACGAAGGCATTCTTCAGCCTATTGGTGTGCTCGGCCTTCAGTGCCTTCTTCTGATTGGACGACATACAGGTCTCGCAGAGTATGCGCCCACCCTTCTCCTGCTTCCAGTGAGGGGTGAAGTCCGTCTTGCACTGGGCACACGAGAAGGGCTCCATGGAGGAGGGCAAACGCAGTTTACCTAAAGAGAGAGCCACAAGAGTTCAGTGAGGTGAGAGGGGCCCAATTCCAAACCGACTCATCTGATAACATTGTTGGTTTGATGGTTGTGTGCAGGACTAATGGCTAGCTAGGCATCAGCAAAAGGGTTCCAGTTCCGTCCCTCACCCTGACTGTCAATGACACTCTGCACAACCTCCTCCAGGCCCACCATGTAGATAAACTCGCTGTTGGCCGCTGACGGCAGGAAGTGGAGGAGTGGCGCCGGCGGCTTGGGAGGCGGGATCTCCAGCAGGGTTTTCTCCAGCTGCTTCCTCAGGGCCAGCTTGGCGGCCGCCTGGCTGCTGGCTGTGTCTGCCATGGAGGAGCCCACCGATGTCCCCCCTGGGCTGTGTGTGGCTGAGGGGCTGACCGCCCCCACCCCCGACACCCCACTGACCCCTCCCGCGGCTCCGGCCGCCTGCATGTGGGTCAGGTTCATGTAGATGGCCGAGGAGGAGGAGGAGCCAGAGCGCAGAGAAGCTGCCACCTGCTGGGTGGAAGACTGTAAGTACACACAGAGAACCATACCCGTCATTCAGAACAGTGTTTTTAAGTTTAAGTCTGATGGCATGACAGCTACATTTATCTGCTAAAAATTATGTAAAAACCCTCAAAACCTGGCATCTGAGTGGAAACAACTGATTTTGAACCTCTATGACAGTGGTATTCAAACTTTTTCAGCACTTTTTTTATGGACATACCCTGTCCATAGACTGCTTACAGATTAAGGAAACCAATTTGTGATTTTGTAATTTGGGTAAACTATCCCTTTAGTTTAAGAGAACCAATAAATACAATTTAATCAATACAATTTTATTTTCTAATTATCTCTCAAAAAAGTTTGCATTATCCCATTCAATAATCTGTACTCTTATTTTATTTTTTTCACTTCTTTATGATGATTATGACCAATAACAGGGATGACATTGGGGTTTACCTGCTGGTAGCTAACGGCGTTGTTAGAGCTGCCAGTTGAGGAGCGCATGCCACCCTGCTTCTGCTGTGCCAGCCTCTGACCCTGCAGCTGGGCAGGGTTGGGCGCTATCACCCTGCTCTGTGACATCATCATCTGAGACATGGAGCTGTTGGTGGCTGACCTGATCACTGAGTGACCCTGGGGGAGGAAAGAGGAGGAGAAGGAGGAAGAGGAGGAGAAGAAGATTATAAGTAAGACATGGGTGGTGGTGTTTGTCGGTTTTCAGTGTCATGTCATTTTCCTGCTCATATTCACCAGAGATTATTTAAGAGGGTAATGCCACTTCATACCACGAGATGGCGTCACTGTGCTATTATTGAAACAGGAGACCTCTGCTTTATTGTGAGATGGTTCTCATGCAAAATAAAATAATTACTGTTCAATCCCATCCCCCAACCCCCCTCCTTGGCTTCCTTGCGCCTGCCCAACTTGCATTGTGACCGACTCAAGGCACAAAGGGAACCCTAAGAGAACCAGTGCTGTAGCCCACCTGTGCAGTGCTGTAGCCCACCTGTGCAGTGCGATGGTTCTGGGGCTCTGGGGTGTGGTGGCCAGGGCGGCCAGACATCTTGCTCATGCTCTGAGCACCGTGGATGGCACCGCTCTGGAGGGCAGATGCTGTGTTCTGGACCACAGGGACCTGAGGGGGGCAGAGGGGTAGAGGTGATAGAGGGGTCAAACATAGAATAATACTAATATAGTAAGGTTATTTACCAGACACTTTTATCCAAAGCAACTTCTAGGTAGCCCTTCACACCCAATACTGTATACAGGGTGAAAACAGCAAATTTGGTCACTGATATGCGCATAAATTGGAAAGCAGTATAGTAACATACTATACATTACATCAGAGCTCTGGGTATCCGTTTTACAGCAGTATATGGGAATCAACTGACAGATGTTCTAAGCGGGAGCACCACCTGCAACAAGAAGATGCCCCCATCCTTCTCGACAATTGGCTTGCTTTGGCATTAATGATCGCTATGTTTGATGTACAGTTACGAGGATGACATGGCGTCATACCCTGGGTTGTTGTTCTGAACAGAATGAGCCTATGTTCGCCGTATTGTGAAGAAAATTAGCCGTGAATTACCACCTGAATGCACCCATGGCTCCATTTCATGCACACCAAAATTACTATCTGTTCTTCTGAAGTGCCTTGTGAAAGCCTAACACTAAAATCGTATTATATAACTTCGCAACTCATGTTGGAAATATAATATGCTTTCAAATATGCACACCTGACCCTGATTGCAATTTGTAATGGACCGTTTTTGGATCGAATTAACAACAGTAATTGCATGATGGTGGGGATGCAGGGCTGCGTTCCAAACAAAAAAAACACAAGGGCACTTGCTTCAGTTCCTTAACAGTACAGCTAGGAGAGCTCAAAATATAATCTAATAGCTGAAGGCTCTTTCCTTGACTCATAAAAGTGTTTTTAAATTACTTAGGAACTGTGCACACATTGGTGAGGTGTGTAGCAATTTGGAGACACCAGTTTGACCTCTCCCTCAAACCCTTGAAATTGTTTTGTCTTATATTGCATCTACCCCAAATTTTGCATGGATATTCTTATTGTGTTACTGAATGTATCCAGAGTATTTCCAGATTTCTTTATCAACAAATGCTGCGGAAAGTACAACAAATGTAAAATGCACATAAAATGAACAGTGTAATATCTGGATTCTTGTGTCAGGAGAACTGTTTGTTTCCCCATAATTTCCAAAGTGTTGCCTTTCAATTGCTACAATGGTTATGCATATGCTTCTCGTATTGTTTCTGTTAGAGCCCTATCCATATAGGCCAATTCCCCCAAGTGTAAAGTGCATAAGCAGTAAGTGAGTGAGAAAAGGATGAGTGCAGTGATTGAGCGAGTGAGAGAGTGATGAGTGCGGTGGCTGAGAGAGTGAGAGAGGGATGAGTGCGGTGGGTGAGAGAGTGTAGTGGGAACTACAGAGTGAGCAGTGGATGACAGAGGGATGAGCGAGTGGATGACTGAATAAATGTCTAAATGACTGACTGAAGCAGATGAGTATAGAGGATGGATGGGACAGCGTTGGGTGGGTTACTGACTGACCTTCTGCACCAGGTTCTCCTTCTGCATCTGGCTCTGCCTCAGCTTCTTCAGCAGCACCAGCCTGGCCTCCTCCAGCCTCAGCTCCTCTCTCAGAGCCCTGATCATCTTCTGCCTCTCCTCCCCTGTCTTACCCTGAAGCACATACATAGAAACAAATGAGCACACATACTGTACCCACTTCTGCCTTTCCTCTCCATACACACATATACAACTATAAAATGTGTCCTTTTATATATTGTACTTGGTTTTTGATTACATGTGTATAGATGATGTATTACAGCTGATACCAATGATGTATAGATTATATAATGTATTATAGCTGATACCAAATTAATATCTGTACTGTTTGCCTACTATGATTGCCTACAGTGTCTCAAAACTATCTGAGTGGTCCAAAATGTGTGTTTTTAAATTAATTAATGGATTACTATACAACTATGCACTATTCTAACACTCATTCACACAAAAAGACATAAATATCCTTCTACATTTTTCAAGACTGTGCTTGCACACACTGCAGCAGGGATTTTGGCCCACTCCTCCATACAGACCTTCTCCAGATCCTTCAGGTTTCGGGGCTGTCGCTGGGCAATACGGACATTCAGCTCCCTCCAAAGATTTTCTATTGGGTTCAGGTCTGGAGACTGGCTAGGCCACTCCAGGACCTTGAGATGCTTCTTACGGAGCCACTCCTTAGTTGCCCTGGCTGTGTGTTTCGGGTCGTTGTCATGCTGGAAGACCCAGCCACGACCCATCTTCAATGCTCTTACTGAGGGAAGGAGGTTGTTGGCCAAGATCTCACGATACATGGCCCTATCCATCCTCCCCTCAATACGGTGCAGTCGTCCTGTCCCCTTTGCAGAAAAGCATCCCCAAAGAATGATGTTTCCACCTCCATGCTTCACGGTTGGGATGGTGTTCTTGGGGTTGTACTCATCCTTCTTCTTCCTCCAAACACGGCGAGTGGAGTTTAGACCAAAAAGCTATTTTTGTCTCATCAGACCACATGACCTTCTCCCATTCCTCCTCTGGATCATCCAGATGGTCATTGGCAAACTTCAGATGGGTCTGGACATGCGCTGGCTTGAGCAGGGGGACCTTGCGTGCGCTGCAGGATTTTAATCCATGACAGCGTAGTGTGTTACTAATGGTTTTCTTTGAGACTGTGGTCCCAGCTCTCTTCAGGTCATTGACCAGGTCCTGCCGTGTAGTTCTGGGATGATCCCTCACCTTCCTCATGATCATTGATGCCCCACGAGGTGAGATCTTGCATGGAGCCCCAGACCGAGGGTGATTGACCGTCATCTTGAACTTCTTCCATTTTCTAATAATTGCGCCAACAGTTGTTGCCTTCTCACCAAGCTGCTTGCCTATTGTCCTGTAGCCCAACCCAGCCTTGTGCAGATCTACAATTTTATCCCTGATGTCTTTATACAGCTCTCTGGTCTTGGCCATTGTGGAGAGGTTGGAGTCTGTTTGATTGAGTGTGTGGACAAGTGTCTTTTAATGTGCTGTAACACACACACACACAAACACACACACACACCTTATACATCTCCAGGTTCGCTGCCCTCAGGCGTTCCTCCCCTTGGCTGGGCCCTCTTGGACTGGACGCCTCATTGTCTGACAGGACGATCACATCAGGGGAGGGTGTGTGTCGCTCCCTGTCCACGTCACTGTGGAGGAACACACACACTTTCAATTCTGACTGACTGATTCTTAATTGTAAGAAGGATTTCTATTTTCCCTCCTCCTATCCTCTTGAACTCCCCCTCTCTCCTCTCTCCTCCCTCACCCTCTCCGGGCGCTGAAATCCACCGGCTCCTCGCCCATGTTCTCCTTCCCGCTCTTTCCCACTATGCCATGGGCTCCCACAACTTGACCACGGAGGCTCCCATTGGTCTTCTCCTCATAGGCCCCTCCCCCTGAAGACCCATGACCCTTGACCTCACCACCCCCGCCTCCTGAGACCCCTCCCAACCCTCCCCCCTCCATGCCGGCGAGGTCTTTGCGTTTCAGATAGGCCAGCATCTTGAGGCGCTCCATGGCCTGGTGGCCCTCCATCTTGATGCGTTTGGAGAGCAGCTCGTCTCGCTCACTGCTAGTGGCACTGCCTGCAGGCGAGGAGGAGTCCAAGCCTCGCTTCAGCAGGCTCAGCCGCACCGCCTCCTCATTCAGTCGCTCCATACTGGACTGGATGGATGAAAAAAAGAGAGAGAGAGACAGGGATGAGGGGAGTACGTAGAAACATCTCTAAGTTAGCCGTGATTATTTTTCCTAACATAAAACAAAATAATTTCTAAAGATCAAAAGAGCAACATGATTATGACATATCTTGAAATGCGTGACTCAAGCAAAGAAAGAAAATATCTTCATTAGTACGTACATTGGCATACTTGAGCTGATGATACACTAGCAAGTTTTTGAGGCAATATTGCAGAGCAATGTTGGTGGCAATGGAGTCGGGTATGCGACACTGGAGCAATTATGAGCATTGAGCAACATGGCCATGAATAAAACCTCAATTTCCCCATTTATTTACTCATCTCCTATAGCTTTTTGTTGCCTGTTGACTGACACATCCGTACTGGAATTTGTCAGCTAACAAACAAGCAACAAATAACTCAACCTACTGCCAGTCAAGTCAACAATGGCAATGCATACATAAGGATAACTAGATTTAGACAATGTTTTGTTTCACAATTCTAAGCTAGCAAGTGTACATGGTATTCATCAAGCTAGCCAGCTAGTTTAACATACAAAAAAACAATCCAAAACTAAAAACTAAATGTAAAATCTACATGGCTAGCTAGCTTGGGAATTAGCCTGTTTGTCCAATTGACTTAGCATTGGTTTCGGTTAGTATGCTAATCACGATTAGCATGCACCCCAGCGTGGACGTTTTCGTCAGTTTAACATGACAAACTGAACACAGTATGTACACTGAGTGTACAAAACATTACATAGACTGACCAGGTGAATCCAGGTGAAAGCTATGATCCCTTTTTGATGTCACCTGTTACATCCACTTCAATCAGTGTAGATGAAGGGGAAAAGATAGCTTAAATAAGGATTTTTAAGCCTTGAGACAATTGAGACATGGATTGTATATGTGTGCCATTCAGAGGGTGAATGGGCAAGACAACATATTTAAGTGCCTTTGAACGGGGTAGGTGCCAGGTGCACCGGTTTGAGTGTGCCAAGAACTGCAACGCTGCTGGGTTTTTCACGCTTAACAGTTTCCCATGTGTATCAAGAATGGTCCTCCACCCAAAGGGACATCCAGCCAACTTGACACAACTGTGGGAAGCATTGGAGTCAACAGGAGCCAGCATCCCTGTGGAACGCTTTCGACTGATCAAAATTCCCCAGCTTATAAAAAAATTCATTTGCTCATTTTCATTGGGACATTTTTGCAGCAACCATTGCTGGCAACATTGCTCAGCAATATTGCCCCCAAAAAGTGCCGTAAGGTGCCATCTCCCTCTACTAGTCTCCAACAGTGAAGCATAGCTGACATGTCTGCTGCTCTCCCACCATATTGTTTGTTTTGCCACCTCAGACAGCGCTAACAGTTAGCTGTCATTACCCCTGTCCCACAACCTTAGACTAGCAGCAGGCTAACACAGTACAGCACACACAGCTATCCTATTGAATTAAGAGTAAAAAGCATGTGTAACAACTGTGTTACAACTCCAATGATCATTGTTCATACTTCCACCCTAAAAGTTCATATTTCCATCAAAGCCAACAGAAAACAATAGGAGAAATACTTGTGGTCCATTAACATGGCTGCAGGTACAGAAAGAGGCACGTGCACGCACGCACACCCACACTTTTTCCTTCCTGACCTCTCCAGTCTGAGTTGAATGAAGGGGAATGTAATGTGATATGTACCCATGACAGAACATGCTTGAGGGCTTTATGTATCTATATGGATGTGTACTGTACCCTGTGTGTGTGTGTGTGTGTGTGTGTGTTACTGTAAATCCGATTGTATTTGACACACTTGAATCATAGGAGGGTTGGTTGAGGATACACAGGCAGGCAATGTAGGTTGTGCCGCTGGGAGTTAGTTTGCCCTGCAACTTCGACCAATAATATGCTTGAAGAAGTTGGAGAGTGATGAGGATTGGCCAGGAAGAGGGGGGTAGTGGGGGGAGGGATTGTCAGGGGACTAGGATGGTGGACTGGTTATAATTAGAGCATAATGCCTTGCTAGGTAGAAATGGTAGCACTCTTGTGTACACACACACACACACACACACACACACACAAACCCATATACAAGGAAACAGTATGGTTTTATAATGCAGCATTTTCTTCATTTTTTTATATATGTTTACTACTCTCACTCTCTAGGTCCAGAGAGTCATCATGAGACATGGAAGTTACCACTTCCTTTACAAAAGGAAAAAGGAAGTGGTAACCCACATAGAAAACTGTGGAGAGACAGAGAGAGAGAGAGAGCAAGAGCGAGAGAGATGGGGAGCAGGCAGAAAAGTGAGAAAGGGCAAGTAAAACCAAACCTGGCTAACAAGCCAATCAGAATTGTCTTGTGGTGTGTGTGTTGTTGTGTCTGTGTGTGTACATGTGACCATCTTTACCCAGCACCTCTTGTCCCCCCTTTCTCTGTCCCTATTGCTCCTTATATAATGTGATGACTGTTTCCCTCAGCTGCAACAAACCACCGTCTCTCTCTCCCTCTCTCACCAGTCTCCTCCCACAGCGCCCAACCCCAACACGCATCGACACACATGCGCGCACACATGCACACACACGACACTCTGGGCCCGCTGCCAAACAACACAAGTCAGACGCCTCCATACCGCGAGAGGAAGAGAGGAGGAAGAAAAAGGGGGTGCTAAGATGGAAGGATGGTAAACGAGAGGGGGTGATCAGCATACGCACACACACACACTTAAACAGCACACATACAGACAGACAGAGAGACAGACAGTCAGACATACACACTAACATTCCCCGAAGGTACATAATCATTATCCTGCAAAGGTAAGCTACTGTTGATGTGACCTAGAGGTTGGACAAAAAAAAATTATACTGGGACCAGCACCCTCGGTTAAAAGATGCAGTGATATACACAATGCTGTCTTACTGTCCTTTTTTACAATGATCATATTGGCATTAAAATAAAACAATCCTACAGGGACAATGGACAAAGACTGCTACGATACAGTATATATCATAGTCACTGTAGCCTATATCCTGTAGAAGAGAGCTATACGATAGAAGACTTCAACACAGTAACAGATAAAGATATGTACAGCATTCTTCAGCCATACCCAGCCCCGCGAGAAGACGCACACACAGGCGCACCCACACACAAACACACACACACACACACACACACACACACACTGGGATTTCAGAGACCATGCCAACATAAGGCTCCTTTGTTCCCGTTCCTCAACCCCCACCCCTCCTCCATTTTCCTACAGTTGTGCGATGCCAACAAAGCACCCGTATAAACACTTTCTTCCCTGTCCTGACTCCACTTCCCTCCATCCATCCCTCAAAAAACACTGGGGAGAAAATAAAACTTTTTTATCGTAAAAATATGCTGCATAGTTGTGTTTGCAAGACCCCGAGGGGGGAAGTGACGAATAAGGGCTTATGTCGTACAGTCAGAAAAATTGTCCCAAGGGCTTTGGTTTACGTAGGGACCAAGTATGTGCATGTATGTGGTAGGGAGTAGATTACAAACAGATATGTGATTTACTTCTTTAACCTTATTGTTGCTTGGTACTAGCAGAAGTCAGTGCAGAAGCAGCTTTAGAAACCCACCAATCTCAGCCTAACCTGTCAATGAGAGAGCATGGGTTGTATGCAAATAATGAAGTACTGATGATCACCCCACATTTGACAACACATTGGTAACAAGGTGCAACCAAATGGAAGAAAGGAATCAGCCATGAACCCACCCATGAGTCCTGACCCAACGTGGGAAAACCCTGAGCTAAGGGTTTTACCGTTTGTTCCAACATAATACCCAAGCAGTGGTTCCCAAACTGTGGGCCGGGACCCACTTGTGGGTAGCGGCAGGGGTCCAGGTGGGTCGTGGGATTACATTTTTTGTGCATTGCACATATTTACAAATACATTTTCGGGATGGAAAAAAACGTTCAGTGTCAATTTAAATGACTAAAACCAAATAGAATGTATGTAGAAAAGATAATGGACCTATATATATTTTTTTTTTTTGAATAGCCTATAATCTTTGAGAACATACAACAAAATAAATGCTAGGTAATCAGGCCCCCATTGATTTAGTTATGTTTGAGCATAAGAACACAGCATTAGCCATGCAAAAATGCATAGAATTGCAAGAGATTAGCGTAAAACTGCAAAAAAATGACCTCTGGCTTTAAAACTGCAACATTTTATTTCAGCTCCATGGCAAAATGTGTAGAATTGCTGGAAATTAGCTTTAAAAATGCAAATGTTTCTGTCCTCTGCTAAGGTGATATTTTTTACTTATTATTTGGTCTGTGTACTATTAATACTAGCTACCTTTATATGTGTTGTGTTATGATACTTGTGACTAACTTGCCTTTCATAATTGCCCCTGAGGGGATAAATAAAGTTGTAATTAATTGAATTGAATATGCATTGTCAGACTGAATCCCTAGAAATGACTATAAGGCTAATCTAAAAATCCTATCATTATTATAGATCACCATTATTACTATAAAAACATGTAATGATCCGTTCATAAAGAACACAGGCGGTTCATGCTGGGTCACTGTGGTTATTAGGAGGGAATCAAACACAATCATATCTAATGAAGGATCATCATCTTCCTATTTCCAGTGTGTTTATGGGGGGAGGAGAGAAATTAGGACAGGACACAAATAATTAACAGGGCCTTAAGTTTATCTATCTCATAACTGTAGCCTCATGAAAACTGTATTGACTGAAAAGAAAGGGAAAAATATAAGAGGACATGATGGTGATGGCATCAGGGGTTGTGGTCTACAACCAATAGGTTTTATCACATGATCAATCCCAGGGTACAGAGGGTTCCTGACATGAGACTGATTAGGAAACAGTGTAGCTGGACACCTAGACAAAAAAGTCAGAAAAAGTACATTAAAAAATCTTTATATATTCATTTGGATGAATCCATTTACTCACACAATGAATATAGCACAAAGCAAATGCAAAAC